GTCTGCCACTTTGCCTTGCGTATGTGGTCTATGAGAAAGCCTTTGAATTCTTCGAAGTTTGGGCGGTGCTACAGTCCCTTCAGCGGTTCCAAGTTGACTTTCGGTATATCGTAGTGCTGAAGTGTTTGAACAGTAGGGCTTCGATGGCTATCCGAGTACAGAAGCTATTTAACTTCAGAGAGGTGTAAGATATGGTGACGTTATATTCTTGAAACTCTGCATCGCTGCATTAGAAGACGTTTTCAAGCTACTGAACTAGAAAGGATACGGTATTAACATCAATGGCGAGTACATCACTCTCCTTCGATTTGCCGACGATATACATGTAGTACTTATGGCAGAATCGCTGGGGAACCTAAGCACTATGCTCAATGACCTCAACAGTGTCTCCCAACGGAATGATCTTAAGATGAACATGGACAAAACAAAGGTCGTATTTAGACAGTGGAAAAAAGTGTATTTCTGTTTTCTTAGATTTGGCGAAAGCATTCGATACCGTGTCAATAAAAATTCTATTAAAAAGACTGGAAAATGGCGGTATCAGAGGCACTCAACTCAAACTATTCAAAAGTTATTTTTCTGAGAGATATCAATGCGTTAGTGTAAATAATATTACCGGTAATGATTTACTAGTAACACACGGCGTACCATAAGGGAGTACACTCGGCCCAACTTTATTTCTTATTTATATTGATAATTTTACAAAATTTAATCTCTCTCAGGGACATATAATTTCATATGCAAATGACACTGTTTTGATATTTGCTGCGGATACGTGGAAAGATGTATTCTCGTGTGCACAATTAGGTATAAATGCAGTTACTAATTGGCTTTACAGTAATAAACTTTCAATCAATATTACGAAAACAAAATATATAGTTTATTCATTAAGAAAACCTATTCGCAACCTTGAAAATTTTAACTTAGTGATTCATTCATATGATTGTTTAACAAGGGATAACAGCTGTTCCTGCCTTTCAATTGAGTCTGTTGAATATATTAAATATCTAGAGGTTATAATAGATAGTAAATTAAATTTTAAACAACATATTAACACACTTAACAAAAGAATTCATAAATTAATACATATTTTTAAAACTATTAGACACGTTTTGGATCCAGATATATTAAAACGAGCTTTTACTTAGCTTTATGTCAGTCTATTATAACATACTGCATATCAACGTGGGGTGGTGCCTCTAAAACGGTGTTATAAAAGATAGAAATCTCTCAACGTGCTATACTCAAAGTTGCAACATTTACACCTTTTCTTTATCCTACATCACAACTTTATGATAACTGTCAGGTCCTTACAGTAAGACAACTGTTTATATTAACGATCAATCAGAAACAACATAGCTTATTAGTATACAACCGATCGAACTTAAATAAATGCAGGAAATTTTCCGTAGAAACAACTAATTTTAAAACAACTTTTATAAGAAAATTCTTTGCATTTTTGGGACCACACTTATATAATAAACTAAATAAAACATTAGACATTTACCACCTTAATAAAATAAATTGTAAAAAAACTGTACATAATTACCTACAAAAATTAACTTATAATGAAACTGAAAACCTGCTTAGTATTCAGACTTAAAAATAAATTCTTATATAACTGTCACCTGTAATACTACCAGTATAAAATCATAATAACCAGACACACACACACACACGCACGATCGCAAAAAAAAACACACACACACACACACACACACACACACACACGACACACATTTTACAAACTCCTCTCCCATAACTGCTCACACACATTACACTCATAACACAATTACTTCTTACAGTCATACATTACACATCTTATGAGAGAGGAACGGCATTAGTAGTATAAATTATTATTTTGTTTGTACCTTGGTATTAGTAATAAGTGGTAACATAGTATATAAACATAATATGTGATACAATTAATTTCATTGTACTTAGGTTATATTAGCGGAATGTACAAATTTTTAGATAGTATTTGATTATTTAACTTTTGCTTGCATACTAATATTTCTATAAATTAACGGTGGTCATATGGCGCTGACAGCTGATGCACAGGTCTCCTAGTTCGGCTGCAGATGCTATGTTTTCAAGTATATGTACTAATGTAGATTTATTAAATAATGTTATGCAAATATCGTGATGTACAACCTCTTGGAAATAAAGAACTTGTTATTATTATTTAAAAAAAAGGTCATGTGTAATGTCCATGTCACACCCATGCCAGTAGTTGTTGGGAGCTTTAAGCTCGAAGTTGATGACATGTACGTTTACCTGACTTCAGTACCATAGACCACATACGAGTACGTATCTTGCGGCAGATTGTACAGAAAACCTAAGAGCCTACCATTTGCCACTTTGCCTGGCGTATATGGACTATGAGAAAGCCGTCTGTTTGATTCCGTCGAAATTTGGGCAGTGCTACAGTCCCTTCAGCGGTGCCAAGTTGATCGTCGATATATCGAAGTGTGTTGTTGTTGTTGTGTGGTGTTGTTTAATGTCCATGTCACACCTATGCCGGTAGTTGTTGAGAGCACTATGCTCGAAGTTGTTGACGAGTACGTTTACCTGGGACAAATGGTCCGACTAGGTAAGTCCAACTTCGACTGAGAGGTTAATCGACGGATTCAACTCGGCTGCGCAGCGTTCGCGAAATTACGACACATTTTCTCGTCAGGTATACCTTAAAACCTGAAAACTAGATTGTGCAACCAGAGCGTGTTGCCAGTGATGACTTATGCATCTGAGACGTGATACTTCACTACTGGCCGTATGAGGATGCTCACGGTCGCTCAGCGAGCTATGGAGAGGGCTGTACTCGGGCTTTCTCTGCGTTATATACTTAGAAATGAAGACATACGCAGTAGAACCAGTGTGACCGATATAGCCCAACGGATTAGTAAGTGAAGTGGCAATGGGCCGGCCATATAGCTCAAAGAACCGACAACCGCTGGGGAAAAATGGTTCTAGAGCGGCAGCCTCGTCGGTACGGCCTACACTACCTCTACGGTAACCTCCACTAGATGAAGTGACGACCTGGTAAGACATGCAGGAAGTCGATGGATGCAGGTGACTCAGTACCGTGCTTTGTGGCATTCCTTGGGGGAGGCCTATGTTCAGCAATGGACTTGTGAAGAGCTGTAATGTTGATGATGATGAGGAATCGTCTGGGTAGGTATACTCTTACTACTCTTACCCATGTCAGCCGACAAGCTGCAGTGCGTGCACTGCCGTGCTCCGGTCTGAAGGTTATAGATATAGAGTCAGTATGATTACAGGAATTCCATATTAGATGACAACATATCTGTAGCTTTCTTTGTTTGAAGTTCGCTGTAGGAGTATATGCGTGTCACTTACCGTCAGATGGGCTGTGAGATTGTTTTTATTTCAGTTTTTAGTAATTCATTGCTTGACATAATATTATGTAGGTGCCTTCGTAATGACAGTTACTTACATTAACCGGCGATCGTACCAGCTAAAATTTCTTAACATCAAATTTGCAGCCACTTAGCAGGCTACTTTTACTACATTGTACACAGAATACGAAGATGCTGTAGATTTTATTACGATATATCAGTTCAGTGTGTTTCCAAATATTATTATTACGTTTTTATTGCTCATTTTATTAACACTAACTGTTGTAGGTCACATCTTAATGCAATACTCCGTACAAAGAGACCTACACGGCAGTCAAAGGCATAAGTTTAATATTGTAATATCTACCAAGAGTTCTTAATGGACACTTATACTCTTAGTATTTGGATGTCCGAAGATAGATGTAGATTATACGTGGTAGAGTCATGCTGCAGTTATACTATTAGTAGTATAGTTGTAGCACGAATGGTTCGGCTCGACCAGGGAAGGACTACGCTCTCACAGAATACCAGCATAAAATAGTAGTGAGCGATGGTGAGTGTAGAGAACCGGAGATCCTATATTTCATCTTAGTCCTAACGGGTGAGAACGCATCTGAAAGTAATTGAGGACATATGTAGATGTCTATGGGCCACAGCAACTACTTACCATCAGGTGGACTTCGTGCTCGTTTGTCACCCTATCCTATTAAAAAAAATTTAATATGATGTGATGCATGATGCATCATCTCTTTGCAGCGCCAGTGAATCGAGCCGATCAGAAAGAACTCGGTCGAAAGAAGACGGAAGGAGCTGGCACTAGGGTGCCCCGATCCAGAAATGAGAACAGGAATCTATGTGAGGGCGACCTTGCGTCTAGTAAAGTTGCAAACGGTGTGCCGGCATGAAATACTGTCTCGCTCTGTTGAGCATGGCAAGGTATTTAGAGGCCAATTTAGTTATCCCTTCCAAGTGAACGCCGAACTGTAAGTCATTTGATATGTCGATGCCAAAGATTCCGATGCTCTGGCTAAGGCGGCATGACGAGTGCCCTGAAATTGAGGAGATATGACAAAGGGGTTCCTCTTAACCGTAATAGTGCAAGCCTGTGCCTTCTGAAATTTAAACTGGATTAGAGTTGTCTATCGACATCGGACACCAGTTTGCTACAATACTCGATGAAGTGCTACCGAGAAATATTAGCACGGCCGGTGTAAAAAGCATCACAAGTGTGTTACAACAAGTAACAGCAACATTTAACTGATATACAGAAGAAATAGCGTAGGTGGGTGATCCAAGACCTCCAAGGAGTATATTCCAACTCCTCCTTAAGTCAGGTAATTTAGAAGATACAAACCATTAAAAAAAATAAAAAAGCAGCAACAAGTAAAATACTTGCGGCAATTATTTTATTAATAATTGACAATGAGAATATTTCATAAAATTTTATTCTGTACATAAGTGTTAAGACAAGCTCATCGCCCCCTTGAACCTTGCGCCCTAGGCTCCAGCCTAGTTAGCCTGTGGGTAAATCAAGCCCTATGAGCCACATCATCACTTATCATTAGGTGAACTGTATTCTCATTGGTCACCCTGACTTATTAACATAAGTTTTTCATAATATTATTAATAATAAATTCCACTTTAATAATAATTCTGCCGAGCAAGTTCCGGATTAAATTGTGAGTTATATTTAGGTTTTATTTTACTTTGTTTTGGTTGCTCATTACTTAGTGTTTCTGACCCACTTAGTTTTTTTAAGTACATTTCAGTTCTGTATCTTTCGTGTTGTTCCCTTTTAAGCCGTGCCTCTCTTAGCTTTTGAATTTTATTTTTATGATCAAGTTCCCTTTTGCTTTTTTTTATTTTCATATGTTCTTTGAACATATTTTTGTCACTAATCTCAGCCAAATCACTTAAATTTTTCTCATTTTCTGTCTTACATTTTTGTGAACAAAGATTTTTGAAGGAATTCATAGGATCTAATTTCTGTTTAGCTCTCCAACATACCTCACCATCTTTTATATCTAATTCTCGTTTTTTTGGTTTACCATCCTGATTCTTTAGAACAAGTTTGTCATATGTGTCTTTTATGTCACTACATCTTGAGAATCTTGATGCCTCTGGTGGTACTTCATACCAATTTTTCTTTTTTAGTGCTTCATTTGTATCTTGTCCTAGATATGTTAAATACCCAATCTTCTTTTCATATTCTTCTTTCTTCTTTTTCTCTTCTAAGTCATGGTCTTTATTTGTGGTAGTTACAGCATGTTCTAGGTCTGCAAACAAGTTAATATGCTCTGGTTTGACAGCGCTTAATGTTTGCTGAGAAACTATGGTATCAAGTTCTTGTAACCTCTGTTTGGACTTTTGCTTCAATAGTTTGAGACGCGCTTCCCTATCAGCAACTTCAATCCTTAATTTTTCCTGCCTTTCTTTTTCAGCCGCTTCAGCCTCATCTTTCCTGACCCTTGCAATATTCTCTTTCGTTCTTACGTGCCATCTGGAAAAACATAAAATGTAATTAAAAATAATGTAAGTAAAAATATACCAATGAATATACATTGGCAATAAAAATTTAAAAAACAATAACATTATATTTAAAATGATTTCGAAATACTTTAACATTATTTAATAATTGCAACGTATACCTTTTCTTTGGAAGAATATTCATTATCGTAACAAAGTAATAAATAAACTTTTAATCCAAAGAATATACATACAAATGAAAATAAAATAAATGTAATCACAATTTTTTTTATTGATTATTATTTTATTATAAAGATTTTTGGCTAGGACTGGGATGCTTGTTCTTTAAGCCATGTCTTTCACAGATCACTATATACTTGTCTTTATTTCATGATTAAAACTACTTTTACGGATTTTATCGCGTTTATTTTTACTTTTTATTTACTTTTATTTTTAATTCCCGACGTTTCGGGCGCTTTCCAGCACCCATGGTCACGGGGGACTGAGATGACTGACGTCCCGATGTCATTGTTAAACCCGGAGTACCTTCAGCTTTTTTAATTATTGTTTATGGTCCGATCTATGCAAAATGAACTGACTATGTCTTGAGGCCTTGCAGTGGTATGCTTGGGTTTAGTTTTAATTTTATTGATTAAAGGATCCCAAGCAGGTGGTAGTACCCAGCCTCCTTCTCTATTGAAATTAGGATGTTTTTTAATTTCAATAGCCTCACGTATCATCCTTGGTAGGAATCGGTGTTCTTTCGCGAGGATTTGTGGTCTATCAAATCTGATGTAATGGTTGGGTCCGTCTAGGATATGATCACAAACTGCAGACTTCCGTCTGTCTGACTCTGAAAGTGATAATGAACTTAAACTTACTGGTATATCATTTCAGTCGTAAGTATAGTACATTTTATCTGGTATTACGTATAAAATTTAATTGTTATTTTAAATTTCGTTACAGAACTAAATAAATATACTTTTAAATTTTATCTAAATATGTTTAAAAGTCATAAAGATTATTGTGTAACCTAAAACCGTTGATAGAGAATTTCTCTGTCTACCGCTATCTACGTTATCGTCCTTTCTCACTCGAGGCCACGCTAATCATTAGTCTATAGGTTTCTCTGTCTACGGATTCATGTGATATTGTTTTTTTTTTGTATCCTTTTCGACTTCTAGTAAAACACATAGTGGTAGACTGCCAAGCGTCTTGATGGTGACGATGGAATCTTGAATTTTGAAGCGATGTGCGTTCCATGAAATTTGGTGGCTGGGGTTAATCCGAACAATTCCTCAAAGCATTCCCCATGGTAGGTGCGGTAGAAAATGCAATGGGATGCAACATCCCTACGCAGCGCCAGTAAATTAAGCCGATCAGAAAGAAGTCGGTCATCGACGATTCGAACCGCTCTGCGCTGGATGCGGTCAAGTGGAAGGGGCTGGCATTGGGGTAGCCCGGCCAAGAGATAAAAACAGAATTCCATGTGATGCCGAACTTGCGCTTTGTTAAGTTGTAAATGATGTGTTGGCATGAAATAATGTCTCGCTCTGCTGAGCACGCCAAGCATTTTAGAGGCCGATTTGGCCTTCCACTCCAAGTGACCACGAAAATGCACACTATTCGATATGTCAACGCCGAGGATTCCGAAACTAGGTAAGGCAACAAAGGGGAGTTATATAAATCTAGTTGATCCGCGTCGTGCGCCATTCCGCAAGTGATCGTGGCAGTCAATTGAACACCGACAAAAATGCCGAATTGCACTGTATTGTCATGCAAAAAACAATAAAAACCGTCAAATCTACAAAATGACAACATGACGTTTCATCAACGAAATTTTTAACATAATATTATTATTAAATCTCATATTTACTGAGTATTATCGGAAAATGCCAAGTGTTGCCATCATGAAGTGGAAAATAAGCTATTTTTAAATATAATTTACTATACAAAATAAATATATTAACGAAAATTTATTTCCTATGAACTAAATCAGTTTGTGATGAATAATAATCATTACACAAAGACGTGTAGTAAATTTTGTCAAATGATTTAAATATTCGGCTCAATCTTGACATGATTCTGAATATTATATAATTTAATGTAATCGATAACCAGTATTTATCAAAATATTACACAAAATAAAAATTAAATAAGTCAAATCGATACTTGTCACTTCATAACAAATGTATGCAACTTTTATAAAATAAACTGGTATCACTGCAACCGAAGTGCTGCAATGTAATGATGTACTCCAAACTTTAGCTATCGATAAGTTAATTAACCATTCGGGTTTGTCTACCGAACAGGTTTTATTTTTTGGTTAGATTTCACTATAAAGTATTGCAAAGCAGTAAATTATTTTTTTTTTTGGTAAAAATAATTATATTTATGGATTAAATATTTTTATTATCATCCTTGACACCAATATTATTATTCTTAAAAATATTTTAGAACTTTGATAACTTTACAATAACGACTTCTTATATTTATGCGAACACTAGATGGTTTTAATGTGTAGATATTAAATGAAACTAATCTTACGGATTTTATCGTGTTTTATTTTGACTTTTTATTCCCGACGTTTCGGGTGCCTTACAACACGAACTTTAGCCGTGTAGTGGCGTTTGAGAATATCCACTACCCCATATCTTCCCGTGGGTGTCGTAAGAGGCGAAAGAGGAAGACAGGCAGGAGATGGGCAGCAGCATCTTCCTGATAACATCAACTAAACAACAACAAAATTGCGGTTGCCATCCCACTCGCCAAGCGTGGCAACTATGGCAAATATCCCCCCATGAATAACGACGCAAACAAACGGCCTCCAGTCCCCGGCGGCCCCGCTATTCCTGGCTACGGTGGCGACCATGGTACGACTGATACTCAGAATCACCAAACGGTATTCGCTGAAGGTCATACAGGTTTATGCACCAACCTCGGCGCATCCCGATGAGGAGGTGGAGGAAATGTATGAGGATATTTCTAGAGCCATACCTTCCTCCAAAACCTACTACAAGTGTTGATGGGAGACTTCAACGCAAAACTAGGCACAAGAGAAAGCGGTGAGCTGAAATTAGGGAAATTTGGAGTAGGGCAACGGAACCTTAGGGGGCAGCAGCTGGCCGAATTTATGGAGAAAGAGGAACTCTTTTTATGATGAACTCTTTCTTCCAGAAGCGGCCCCACAGAGAGTGGACCTGTTCGCGCCCCGACGGTTCGACAAAAAATGAGATTGACTTCATTATGACGACCAGACGCCAACTGTTCAGTGATGTCTCAGTGATCGCAAGGGTGAAAACTGGCAGCGATCACCGAATGGTTAGAGGCACACTGACCCTAAACGTTAAGTTGGAGAGGTCTCGTCTAATGAAGTCAACGCTCCGTACCCCTCGTGCTCTAATCCAGAATCCCGAAACCGTTCAGCTCGAGTTACGTAACCGCTTTCAGTGCCTAGAAGATTACAATGCAGTGGACGATATGAATGACAAGCTCGTGGAAACTGTCCATGCGGTCGGAGCTAAGTTCTGCAAGACCCGCCGCAGAAGAAGACAAAAACTCTCCGATCACACTCTTAATCTCATGGCTGTTAGACGGGAGATGAGGCTGCAATCGTCAACAGATTTGACAGCATACAGGCAACTGAACAGACAGATCTCCAAATGCATGCGGCGAGACTTACGCAACTTTAATACTGCTCGTGTTGAAGAAGCGATTGAGCGGAACCAGGGCTCCAAAGTCTTTGCCAGACAACTGTTAAAGCTGAAGACTGAGTGTGGCAGCATCGTTTCCGGGACACCTGAGATTCTGAGTGAGATTGAGAGGTTCTATGGGCAGTTGTACACATCATCGTTGGAGCAACACGCAATTGTGAGTACAATCCAAGAGCAAGTCCCATGATATCCCGGACGTTAGTCTGAGCGAGATTAGAATGGCTCTCCAGCACCTTAAAAACGGCAAGTCCCGAGCGAGGATGGAATTACAGCGGAGCTTCTGAAAGCGGGTGGAAAACCGGTACTTGAAGTCCTTCAGAGGCTCTTTAATTCCGTCCTCCATGGTGGCACTACTCCGAAAGCATGGAGCAGAAGTGCGGTGGCCTTGTTCTTCAAGAAAGGAGGACAACACCCTCTTGAAGAACTACAGACCGATATCCCTTCTGAGCCGCGTTGCTGTTTTCGAGAGTCATTACGAATCGTGTCGCACGCAGACTCGACTACTTCCAGCCTTCCGAATAAGCCGGTTTCCAAAAAGGCTTTAGTACCATAGACCACATACATACCCTTCGGCAAACTGTACAGAAGTCCGAAGAGTACAATCTGCCACTTTGCCTGGCGTATATGGACTATGAGAAAGCCTTTGATTCCGTCGAAATTTGGGCGGTGCTACAGTCTCTACAGCGGTGCCAAGTTTACTGTCGGTATATCGAAGTGCTGAAATGTTTGTACAGTAGGGCTACGATGGCTATCCGAGTACTATAACGAACCAGAGTACGAAACCTATCCAACTGCAGAGAGGTGTAAGACAGGGTGACGTTATTTCCCCGAAACTCTTCACCGCTGCATTGGAAGACGTTTTTAAGCTACTGGACTGGAAAGGATGCGGTATTAACATCAATGGCGAGTACATCACTAACCTTCGATTTACCGACGATATAGTCCTTATAGCAGAATCGCTGGAAGACTTAAGCACTATGTTCAATGATCTCAATAATGCCTCCCGACGGATAGGTCTTAATATGAACATGGGCACAACAAAGATCATGTTTAATGTCCATGTCACACCTATGCCGGTAGTTGTTGGGAGCACTAACCTCGAAGTTGTTGACGAGAACGTTTACCTGAGACAAATAGTCCGACTAGGTAAGTCCAACTTCGACCGAGAGGTCAATCGACGGATTCAACTCGGCTGGGCAGCGTTCGGGAAATTACGACACATCTTCTCGTCAGGTATAACTCAAAACCTGAAAACTAAGTTGTACAACCAGTGCGTGTTGCCAGTGATGGCATATGGAAGAACGGGGCTATGCTCTACTGTCTCTGCGTGATAAACTTAGAAATGAGGATATCCGCAGTAGAACCAGAGTGACTGCCATAGCCCAACGGATTAGTTAGTGAAGTGGCAATGGGCCGGCCATATAGCTCAAAGAACCGACAACCGCTGGGGAAAAAAGGTTCTCGAGCGGCAGCCTCGTACCGGTAGACGGAGTGTAAGGCTACCCCCCACTAAACTCTGATTTTTCATTCCGTAGAATTCTGACATTTCGTAAGTGTTGCTACTAAAAAAGTTCTCCACCGAAAAAGAGACAAATTTGAACCATTTGAGGGCAATAAATAATAAAATGCTACGTATTTTTTATGTTTCACCTACAAAAAGGTAAATCTAAATATTTACTTATACAAGTCACCTAATACAAAAATAACAAATATTTCAATATCACGAACAATATATCTAATTAACTTTAATTACTTAATATTTTATTCTTTAGCTGGCATCACTGTCTACTAATTCCAGGTTTAAAAAACCTTTTAAAAAAATGTTAGCTGTCACGTCGCGTCTGTCACATTGATTGATTTTCATTCGACTTCTTTGAATGCTCGAATGCGCATGTGTTCTCGGTGTTTGCTGCTATTTGTTGTTATTATCTTGTTATATTTGTTAAGTTTCTGTTATTCTGTTAAGTTTTTTCTTGTTGACCTTTCGTTTTGTGATCGTTTGTTGATTTTTATAAACGTTATGGAGCCACAACCTGGCCCTTCCCGGGAAGCAGCCCCATCTGACAGAGCACAAGGCTTAGACTTTCTTTCTCCCAGAAAGAAGCGTCCTCGTGGTGCTTTTACGCCCAACGAAAAGACCATAATTCTAAATATTTACAAATATAATATAGAAAATTGG